CAACCGGATCACCCCCAACGGCGTCGAACTTTGTGGCCAACATGCTCGCTAACGAAGAGTCGTGGGCTGCGAGCGCAAACTTTGCGGCCTCCGTTATGGGCAAGCTCAGGAAACAGGAGCGGGACAGGAGCGCGATATAAGCGGGTTGATCGGCCGGGCGAAGCAATGCCTAACGGCCGTACCGCCTGGACTTTGACCTGCGTATATCATTATTATTATTACTTTTACTTTTACTATTATTATTATTACTACTATTGTTATTTCTATCTATTCTATATTGTTATTTTTCCACTCTTTGTCAGTTTATATAAAGAATACAAAAAAAAAAAAAAAAAAAAACACACACACACACACACACATACATACATACAAGCAGCTGTTCGTGTAGTTGCGTGCAAACGGTTGAAGTAGCCAAAGCAAAATGTGTAATGTAAGTACATACATACATACGTACATATGTATAAAATACATTCGTCTTGCACTGACAGGGCAAGAAATGTTAATTAATTAAAAATTATTAACATAAACATTTTTATGTTATTTTTTCTTTGTTTAGTACATTTGGCATAAGGGGTTTTTAGGACAACGGACTACAAGGGCGTACGCAGGTTGGGCAGGGGGGACATTGCTCCCCTTAGAAAGAATTTCGCATTATGAATTACACCAGCACCATATGTATTACATACGTACATACATATGTACATACGTCTGTATGTATAGTATGTACATATGTACATCAATAAGTATGTATGTACGTACATACATTCTTATATACATATGTATATAGGTCTGGTATGTATGCAGTGGGCCATCAAACACTGTTGTTTAATTGTAATATATAGTGTTCTATGGTTTCAAATCGAAATTTTTAAAACAACAACTTCAAGTTATTGGCTCGCAAACCTTCTTTCGTTTTGATCATTTACGGCTGTTAATTGCATACGCAAAATGCCAAAAGTTTACAGTTACCGTACACATGCAAATACATTTGTATGTATTTATGTACATATGTGTACAGTGAACAATCGAATACAGTATTATAATCAATAACTCTCAAACGTTTTTTTTCGTTGTATTTGTATTCGACATGTATTACGATATATCAACACAAGTATCGATATTTTCGATATTTTCACTTTTTCAAATGAATAGTTTGTGTCATAAATTTTCAACGATTAAAATATAGCAATATGTTTTTTACTTGCCATATGTATATCAAATATCAAATAGTTGGGGACATCCCATACACACACTCACACATACATACAACAAGCAACAGTTCGTGTCTATGTGTGCCCATGCATACATACATATGTACATGCATATGTATGTATGCCTGTATATGTATGTAGCATGTACATACAAAACAACAACAACAACTGCAAGTCATTGGCTCGCTCTTCTTCTTTCGTTGTGACCATATAATGTTAATTGCAAAGGCAAAACGCCAAAAGTTTACAGTTACCGTCGCTAGGCAACGACTGCGTAAGCGATAGTAAAGCAGAAACCTAATAACGGAGCTACGTATATTCTGCTTCGCATTGCGGGCAGATGTATGTATGTATGTATGTATATGATTTGTTCTTATTGATCTCAATAAATAATTAGATTTTATTATTTAAATATTCTGCTTATTGCATTCAAACTTAGATATTTTGATGGTATCGGTGGCTTCAACTATCGAAAGTTTTACTCTAGCAAATTGAGATGAGAATTGCCAGTGCTTTTTGATCGTGGCTCATCGCTGCACGGCATTGACACGAGTGCCGTGTTTTATGAAACATGCGGTCACGCACAAACTCGGAATATGTTCCGAGTTTGTGCGTGACCGCATTGACTCAATATGGCACGAAAAGACTCAAATGTGAATTTAAAATTAGGATATACCCTTATAATTATTCCCCTTTTTTGCACATAGTCTATCTTAAAATGTTGGTGATCAACGCACAGCCCAAACGGTAGAAGATGAAATTTTGACTCAAGTATCCTTTCATAGTATCGATCATAGTGTAGGAGCACACTTAGGAAGGCTTTTGGAAAATTCTAGCTCCAAAGGGGGGAAAACGAGCTTTAAAAAATATTAGTTATAGTGGTCATGTTCGTTTAACGAAATAGTTTGGCAAGAACAAAAATGTAACGGACTACTGAACAATTTTTTGTCAAGAACAGAAAATGTTCATTTAAATACCTTAAATGCCTTCCTACTGGTAACTTACTTATAAGGTGAAAACATATGGGTAGGTTATGCACACACAAAATAAATACAATTGGAATCATTATATTGAGCCGGATTATGACGGGCAATGCCTGCTAGTAAAAGAATAAAAATAAAACTGCATACTATTTTAAATTGGTCTTGGAACTTGAATTATTGAAGTTTTAATATTATACCCGGGTACATGGGTATCATGCAACATCATTTATACATAATCTACTTTTCAAATTTCATCTAAATCGGTTAATGCTAAGAAAAGTTATTAGTGAAACAATTTCACTCCGGTACTACGCCCGCAAGCTGCAGCATCAAGTTCGCTCTTCTTCGTTTTGCCTCTGCTATAGGCGCATATATCTCAGTGTCGGAGGTTTACCTGGGTATAGGGTATTTCACGGTCGGGCTTGCTCGAGTGTCTCTCTCTTGTTTTCAAATGAAAAGTTTGTGTTATCAATGTTGTCCGATCGATTTCAAATTTGGTATCCGTATATCTTCGAAGATTTTCGAAATATAGATATATGTTTTTCACTTGCCATGTGCAGCAACAATAAATAACAAAGAACACAAAATATCAAACAGTTAGGGACATCACATAAACACACCTACACAGTCACACAGTCACAGACACATACAGAGATGGGCAAAACCGGTGCTCTTTATTGGTCGTGGCACATCGCTGCACTGCATGGACACGAGTGCCGTGTTTCATATTCCAATTTAGTGCGTATTCGTGTTGACTCATTAAAGCACGAAAAGATACGAACATGAAAATGCGATAGAAACAAAAACAACACGACCAAAATAAAATTTAAAGTTGGGAAATACTCTAATATTTATTCCAGTTTTTTGCACAAAGTCTATCTTAAACAAGTAAAAAAGCTAATGTAAAACGCAGAAAGAGGCGTGGAAGACCCCACAAAGTATATATATTCTTGCTCAGCATGACAAGATGAGTCGATCTAGCCCTGTCTGTCTGTCTGTCTGTCCGTCTGTCCATCCGTCCGTCCGTATGAACACCTGGAGACTCTGAGACTATAAGAGCTAGAGACACCAAATTTTGCACAAAGATTCCTTATGTGTGTACACTATTCGAGTTTGTCTTATTTTTTTAATGTTCCCCCTCACTTCCCCGGTAATGGGATTTTTCAGTAACGCCTAGGTAACCCTAGGTACACCAAATTGGAAGTCCAAGATGCATTATCCACAACCTCTCACCATCGCAATTCATAATAATCTCTAACTCCCGTAATTCTTGAACTTTCGAACTCAAATTATGCAAATACCTCCAGTGATTATGTGTCCGTATACCAAGTTTCATTACGATAGGCCGATTTATCATGAAGCTATAGCCATATATATATAGTATTTGGCCAAGCGCTGTCCGCAGCTGTTGTTGTTGTTGCTGCTTTGGTTCAAAATTGTGCATGCATGCTCACATACACAGAATTCCTATGTAATTCCTTGTACATTTCATGTACAGAGTATAAACAAGAGAGAACGCTACAGTCGAGCAAGCCCGACAGTGTAATACCCTGTACCCAGGTATACTTCCGTCACTGAGTTATATGCGCCCATAGCAGCAGCAAAAAGAGGAAGAAGAAGAGCGAACTTGTTGCTGCAGTTTGGAGGGGTTGTACTGGCGAGAATTTGTTTTGCTAATAACTTTTCTTAGAATTGACCGAATTGAATAAAATATTAAACAACAATAGACAATTATATATAAATTATGTGTGCAGTTTGGTTTAGGTAGCATTTGAAATGTGGACGCTATTGACGAAATTCTGTAGCGGGGGACGGGGGGGAAAATTAAAAAAAAAAAAATAAACTCGTCCTTACTCGGACCTAGGAGAACCTGGATGCCAACTTTGGTTATTCTAGCTTTTATAGTTTCTGAGATCCTTGCGTTCATCCAGACGGACAGACGGACGGACATGTCTAGATCGATTTCTCTCGTCATGCTGATTCAGAATATATATATATTTATGGGGTCGCAGATGCTTCCTTCTGCATGTTACATACTTTGCACAAACCTAATATACCCTTTTTACCCTACGGGTACAGGGTATAAAAATGTGTACAAGTGGTACAAACTCTTCCAAGATGGCTGAGAAGACGCCGATGAAGAACCTCCCTCTGGACACCCCAACATATCAACAACAGAAGATATCGTCGAAGCTGCGAAGAAAATTGTTTTTGAAAATCATCGAATTACCATAAGAGAAGTTGCTGAAGATGTTGGCATATCCTTCGACTTGTGTCGTGATTTTTTTTTTTTTTATGCTTTGGGCGTGAGACGTGTGTCAGCGAACAGAAGAACCCTCGCATGAGCATCGCTCTGGAGCTCTTAAATGATGTCAGCTATGATCCTGATTTACTCTAAAGGGTCAAACCTGGTGACGAATCATGCAGATATGGTTAAACGTCGAAGCCAGAGCCCCATCCTCCCAATGGAAGTACCCAAGTGAGCCAACCTAGTGTTTTATGTACTTCAAACTTTGAACATATATTCGGGACATGTGTACCAACACAACAACAACAAAAAAATTGATATTCAAATGTACGTTGCTCGCGGAACTTGAAAAGTCATCTAACTTTTATTAAACTACCTCATGCTAAATTTGGTTAGGATACATTCAGAATAAAAGACTCACTGCAAGTTATTTCCCAAATCATTGCGCTGATCATGTAAATACCAATGGCTATGTTTGCCAAAAAGTTACAAGTATCAAAATAAATGGAACTAACACTTTGCAAGGGTAATAAGTCCTAGTTTATAACTTTAACATACTTGCATATTGCCGCATTCCTTATCAATTGTTCCTGTATATATAAATCTGAGGCATTGGTACAATCCTTGAGAAGAAACGAGCTTCAGGGTTACAATAGTCTGAAGAGTACTAGCACCGCGTTGGCCTTCCACTTGCACTAAGCGTATACTTTGTAAAAGTTGATGATGCAATTCTTTGTATTGATCACTAGAGCTTTTGGATTCTATTAATGGTATCGATTGGTAACTGGACCGCCGCTTCAGGTGGTTCCACACACTGCAAGACCGGGACATAAATAAAATATACGAATCGTAGACAATGGATGTATTTACCGCTGGGTACGTGACTCATTACGAATAAGATATTCCGTGTCATCATTAAAATCGGCTACAGTAGAATCTCCAAATGTAGAACTCACCATGCTCGATTCGCTGCTGCTGCGACCTCCCAAATCACTAAAGTCCATGCTCAAAAGACGCTGAAAAATACCTGACGCTGTAGCGAGCATAAACCTGTGTACGGCAAATTTTGTTATTCCCACTACAAGAATGAGGTCGGTGTACGACTGTGAGAGAAACATGTTGTAGATGTCTTGGTGGTAACTGCCAACTACGACTTTGACTTCAGGCGGTGGTGGTTTAGGCGGTCGGAATGGTGCCTGAAGCAATGGTTTTTGGACTTTTTTAAGATTGGTCATCCAGAAGCGTTGCTGCCGTCGAGCAATTAATGCCGACCGTATGGCATTTTCAAACAGCTCGTTGACACCAAAATACGTGAATACACTAGTTTCGTAGTAAGCAACGCCAAGATCCTTTGCAACAGCACGTGCTTCGTCGGGCATCACGAGATCACTTTTTAGGGCAGCTCTAAAATATATAATATTGTTTATAAGTAAAAAGGAGTAGTAACATTTTTACATACCGAACAAAAGTGCCTTTCTCTCCAAAGAAAGATAAGTAATTCTCATCGCGGTACATGTAACGTAGGTCGTTCTTGCACCCAACTAGTATAACAGGAACATCTGGGCAAAAACGTCTTATCTCAGAATACCACATGGTCTTACAATTTCGTAATGAAACTCGACTTGCAATGGAGAAACATAACAGCACTACATCCGATCTGAGAAATTCGTTAAAAATATAAGTTAATTCGCTCTTCCTAAAGTCGGAAATTTTACCTTCCATAAGCAAAACGGCGATCCTTTTCGTGGTCACCGAATGTATCCCATAGGCGCAAAGATACATTAACCCCATCGACCACCTCCCATGACCGTTCAAGAACCTGTAACAAACTGTATTTAAGAAAACATCTGGATATTTCTCATCATTTTACTTACATCTTTATATATGCGATATTGATCTATTGCCCATACAGTCGGAACATGTGTTGACAATAGTTGCGAAAGGGAAACGTGCTTGTTGCAGGCACGTGCACAAATCAAACGTGTCTTACCTACGGCTGTATCTCCGACTAAAACGCACTTTACAAGTTCTTGATGTGGTTGCTCGTTATCCATGTTTACAATGTAACTAATTATTTTCCGAAGCCTGGCTAAAACCAGAGAAGTATTACTACATTAAAAAGCCAAACTTCGGATTAATATGATATGGTGTATGTGCAAAGTTCCTTTATTTAATACAAATGGGGACCCTATTGTCCGATGCCTCAACTTTGAAATACACCGTACATATGTGTAAAGTCGTTATAAAAGTTTAAAACAAGAGAGAACGCTACAGTCGAGCAAGCCCGACCTTGTACTCTCCACAAAAAATATAATTATTAAAAAAAAATTTAATTAATTCATAAAATTAAATAAAAAATTTTCAATCCATACATACAAAAGCGAAGACAAGACAACAGCTGGGGGCAGAGCTTCGCCAGAGAGTATATAAATGGCTATAACTGTCTTCATAATTAGCCAATCGTAATGCAACTTGGCATACGGATAAGTAACTTGGCAAGAATAAAACGCATATTATTCTGCTACCCCAGCATAAGACCAACAATTAGATACAGGTCATAGTTCCGTGCACTGCACATATAAGTTTATGAGCCAAATTGATCTATCACCAGCATACTTAAGCTCATAATATATGCTTGTGCATCATTATTGTGAAAACGCCAACACATAGAAATGGTAAATGTATATAGTCATAAGGTAGTTTTAAACATGGCTATATAAGCTATGATTTGTAAGAATAAAATCAGTATGCAAATTATCAACGTACGGTCTGTTACTTGGGCCAATACGGGAACCGCTGATCTTTATCAGGCCGACTACCACGTTGAACTACATGCTCCCAAGGATTGCCATCCGGTATCCTTGGTCACTGCAAACGTTCTGCGTAGTTTCTCTCAAGTGCAACCAGGACACCCGGTGCTACTCGCACCTACTAGACCACGAGGGTCCACTGAAGTAGCAGGGCCACAAGTGCCTTTAATTAAACGGACCACGAGTGTCCACCCAAATATCAAACCGGACCACTGGGATCCCTCCTTGCTCAACAGAAGGACAAGAAGCGTCCTTTAAATTAAACTCGTCAGGATCACGATCGTCCTGCCGATTCGCACTACCGCACGTGTGAGAATAAACATATTCTTTGTGTGGTCTGCCACGCTTCCTTCTGTGTGTACATACATTCGCACAAAATTAGTATACAGTTTTATCCTTTGGGTACAGGGTATAAAAATTGACAAACAAAAGTAACGTAATTGTAATATCACAAGAAAATATTTTGATCGATTATACCATGGCAGTGTGCAGGGAGGCAGAGGCCGTGTGCAGTTGAGTGCAGGCAAGCAGATGCCGAGGGCTCGTTCGTGCAACCAGGCATAAGCCGAACGCTCGTTCGTGCTTGGCAGGCATATGGCATGTCCCATGCGACATCAAAAAACATCATTTGATACCAGTGCGTCCAGAATAAAAGCAGAAAGCTCATCAAATATATCACAAATAGCAATTATCAATACAATTAACTTTAAAAAAACTGCAAAAAAATAAAAAGAATTGCGATCGTGGGACAATTAATAAGTTTGTCCTGTGCGACATCGTAAGTGTGAAATAAAAAATAAAATTTTCTATACAAATTTTTAGCTCTACAAATTTTACAATTAATGAAATCTAAATGAGTAAAAACAGCGGCGAAAAAAACAGGCCTGCAGACGGTGGAGAAAAAATTGAGGAATAAAAATATGTTAATAAATGATTATTATTATAAAAGATAGAGAAGTTTACAAAACTAAACTAACTTAGGCATTGGTATTGCTGGTGGTGGTCTATTTACATTTGCTATATGTTAGCCTAGTTATATGTAATTGATTAACTAATTTATACATTTATTATACATTGCACATTGGGCGGAATCGGCTTTTATTTGTCAAAAACTCGAATTTTAAAGCTAGAATCTAGAAACTTAGGGAAAAAAATAAAACAAACTTGCAAGGCGTACGTATATAACATTAATTTTGATTAAAATATATTTTCTGCTTCTAGATCAACATCAAATTGTTCTTTACTTTCAAACTCGTCTTCATCTCCATATATCCAGTCTGCAACTTCAAATGTTGGCAACTTTAAAAGTGCAATAACTTCTTTTGGCAGTTTATGTGCTTTTGAAGTTTTTGCTAAAGCGATGCTTGATAAATAATGATCAGAAGTATCCAAAGCACGGTGGAATACGTCTGTTAAGTTGTTGAGTCGGCTATTTTTCCTGGCATATAATATCCTCTCACGCTTATAGTATTTGTTGGGAGTCACAGAAGCGTTTTCGCCTAAGCAACCAACAGGTAGTAAAGATGGCTCAATAATCTGTGCATTGTGAACTAAAATTTTATGGATATGGAATTTTATGGTAGCGGTCATTGAGTACCACGGGTATTTTGTGACTAGGGTAAGCGTCACTACACATTTTTTTAATTTAATCGAACAAATTTCATACTCGCATGATACTTGTATAACTATTAAAATTAAATATAGTTTGTTTAATAGCTCTTCATCGATTTCCAATATAGAGGCAAATAATGGAATATTTGAAAATGCCCTTCGTGCCGTATTTCTATCGTTGGAATTTCCAGATCCATTCTGGCTTGGTTTGTTTATATATAGCCCCATTTCAGACCAAAGTTTTCTTTCAATGTCATTTTTACGAATCAGCATTGGGTCTTTGTCAGAATCCGTACTGATTCGCAATTTCTTTAGCCCGACGCGATATGAAATATTCAGAACGAACTCCAACAAGAAAATAATGCTAAAGTCGAGCGGGCTCAACTTTTAAATACCCCCACAAAAAAAAAATAAATAAAATAAAAAATAAATAAAAATAAAACAAGTAAAAAAGCTAAAGTAGGGTGACCCGACTTTGAAATACTCTGTACATATGTTTAAAATAATTATAGAAAATAAAAAAAAATAAGAGAACTAAAAAAAAAATGTTGATCGATTTTACCTCTTTAGGTATTCGAACTCACGTAAAGGGTGTATAATTTACATAGCAATTGCGTCTATGTGAGTGTATGTATGTATATGCTCGTATATTCGTGTCTGTGTAAGCATCCCCATAGGGGGGAAGTGGGGGAAAATCAAAAAAAATAAAACAAACTCGTATAGAATACACACATAAGGCATCTTTGTGCAAAATTTGGTGTCTCTAGCTCTTATAGTCTCTGAGATCCAGGTGTTCATACGGACAGACAAATAGACAGACAGGCAGGGCTAGATCGACTCGTCTCGTCATGCTGATCAAGAATATATATACTTTGTGGGGTCTGCCACGCCTCCTTCTGCCTGTTAGATTTTCAGCTCCCGCAAACCTAATATACTCTTGTAAATTTTATGTACAGAGTATAAAAAATAAAAAATAAATAAATAAAAAATGTAATTAATTAATTTAATTTAATATAAAATATTTAAGTGAGTTGAAGGCCCGAGTAGCTAGTACTCGTTAATCTAATATTAAGTTTAGTATTAGATACTAGATTTAATTTGTTAACATAAAATAAATAAGTAATAAAATATTTAACACATGCATATGTACAGGGTGCGACATCTTCAAGAAATTGTACAGAACCAAATTAAATAAAAATAGCTCATACTTGAAAATCGGTTGTTTATTTTCAAAGATATTCAATATTTACATACCGACATAAAAGATGGCGCACCCTGTACAATTTCAACAGCATAGATTTACATCAGGATCGCGTCTATGCGTGCTTGTATGCAGTAATAAAATAAGTCAAAGCAGCAACCCCTGCCTGCAGACCTTGGGCAGAGATTATGTTTATGGCTATAACTTTCTTCGTAATTAACCTATCAGGATGAAACTTGGCAGACAGACACATAATCACTATATGGATGTATTTGTAGAAAATTCCAAGAAATATGGGAGTTACGGGAATTATGGGAAAAACACGAATTGCGGGGGAGTGGGGGGTGCATCAGAAAAAAACACAAACTTGTCCTTTCCTGGATACGGAGTACCCTTTGGGTACAGGCTATAAAAAGCTAATCCACGCGTGGAGGGGGCTAATTCCGTACCGAATAGTATTCGGTTTTGGCTTGAACTGTTGACGTCCGTTTCTTTTAAAAAGTCCTTTTGGCTGGCGTCGCAAATTGGACATTATTATATTTCCATGGATGAGCGTCATGTGTAAGTCGAAGATTACTTTTGCATTCCTTTGGTCTGCCTCATAAATAAATGGCTTTACAAGTAGGAGTTTTATTTAAACATCTTAAAGTGCCTTTGTGTGATGTCGACTTTCATAAGTCAACTCTATTTTTAGCGGCCTGCAATATTTAATGGATTGTGGGAACCGATTTATCCAAATAATTCATCCATATGGATCCACCATTTGGAGTGGAATTATTGCTTGTTGTTTTCCTTAGCCTCCCTCACCTTTTCGTATCTCGGATAATTATTAGAATTCTTTTCAATATTCGTTAAGCGTATCTTATTATATTGCTGCTTGAAAACGAATTTTCTATAATAAATGATAAGGCCTCTTCAGGTGATAATGGTAGTGGCTCTTTCAAGCAGTTCCGTTAATGTTCAGGATGATTTAATGTTGCTTTCAGAATATGTGAAATTTCTTTATCATTTGTTTTCTTAGCAGCTGCATAAGGAGATGATTTGAATTTTCTGTAGAACTGTGAACTTCCTTCGTCATAAGATAGAGGTGCCCGTCCATTTTTATTGCCATTATGCCTTATTGAATAAAATGTTATATCTTGTGCAAGGCAGCTAATATTTTGTTATTCAAGCCGACCATTTCTTTGGCTTTATTTAGCAGCATTTTAGCATTTAGCATTTTAATGTCCATCAAAGAATTTTCTGAAACAGAATTTTGAAGTTTTTCGGCGCAAACCCAGTCAAAAGTAGATACGCTTTTCAAACAAAACTTCCAGCAAATCGGCACAACGAATAGCAACCTTGCCCCCATCCATTGAAATATTTCGAAAAACCGCAAAAATCCACTTATGTTTTAAAATCTACTTAAATAATTGAATATATAATAACGCATACTATCACATAAATACACGAAACACAACTATATTG